GTATGAGATCTATATTTCACAATAAAAACCTTGTGAATAACTCGTAGAAATATAATATATTCTGTTTTACCCCAAAAACAGCAGTTATAGCTTTTATTCTGATATCTGAACTTGTCTTTAGACCACGTGACCTCCATTGATGTCTATACTCTGTTAAAATCTCTTAAGAGATTTTAACAAAAAACCAAACTTTTTAGAAAAAAACCAGGGACTAACTTTGAATGTAAAAATGGATTCATTAACCATTGGTAAGTATGGGAAAATTGTTGTTTACTCCAGGAAAATTCATTTTTTGGCCGAAACGAAGAGTTATTATTGCTTTAAGTATGAAATTTTTGTCACAACGATGTATTTTTAATCTCAGTATTTTTCATTTAATTTCAACAATTTCTATGAAGCATCAGATGTTTTATGAAACATTAATCATCATTATTATAATTATTATCATAAGTAGTGATCTTATCCTTATTATCACATATTATTATGAACATGTTTATCATTTTTATTATTATGAATATTAAATACTTCAGTCTACTAGTAACCTGCCCATGTGGTCCCTTGTTATATCTAGATGATATATTATTATTATTATTATTATTATTATTATTAGTTATTACCTGCCCATGTGGCCCCGTGTGGCACCCGTATAAAGTGCCTGTGGACCTGACCTGGTTTGAACTGCTGATTGGAAAACTCCACCCTGAAGTTGACTGTGTCTTGAACCCTGCAAGACGGGGTTTACAAATTAGCAAAATAAGAAAAAAAATTACAATATGTATTTAAACTATGATTATCACAACAATCAGTAAAATAACAGTCTGTGACAATTGGTCACGTCATGAAATAATTATTACAGCATTATTTTATTTGAAATTGTTTGTTTGAATGTTTTTCTTTATTCTTTCATCTATTTAATTCATTAATGCTTTTCATTTGATACCAAACTGTAATACTGTAATGTCTCACTGTCTACTGGCCCGATAAATATACTTATAGACTGACACCATAGTTAAACATTCATATCTTACAGATATTTACAAAATCAGTGATTTAAAATAGCATTACAAAAATTTAATTTATTTGTACATGGCTGTTAATATCTTAGATATCTTATTAAGTTCTATTTATTTTCAGTGTTTTGAAAATGCTTTCACTGATTTTTATGGAATACTCCATGCATGAATTATAATGATTATTATTATTATAACTCACGGTTCAGGGATGATCACAGTAACAGGTACTCTGAAGACAGGACCTTTGACTGGACATGTGACATCATAGGCCAGCACCTGGAGGACAGCAGTATTAATTAAGTAATAACATTTCTATATACAACTAATTACTCTGAAGACAGGACTTTTGACTGGACATGTGACATCATAGGCCAACACCTGGAGGACACCATTATTAAGTGAGTTACTACACATATTAATACTACTCAACAAACAAGTGCAATCATCATCATCAAATAGAAATTCATATTTTCAAAGCATTTAAACTTATGTCCATGACAACAGTTTCAGTGGGCAACTAATGGAAATTACTTACCAGGGGGCAGACTTCAAGACCTCAATTTACCTACTAACATGTGGAAACCCATTTTTCTACTACACACACAAGAATATGACACATGCATACACATGCATGCACGCGAAAAATCTGGTATTTGACTTCATTCATGAAACACAGGTATAAGCATCAACGCGTCTGTGTATATGCGTAGAGAGAAAGAGAGAAAGAGGGAGGGAGACAGAGAAAGAAAGCACTTAGTGTAATTTACTTTACCTCAGTGTAATGAACGCCATGTGTCAGCCCCCGCGGGTCCACCTTTACAGATATAGCCCGCGCAGAATTATTGAGTTCAAAATGGGATGGGACTTCTACATAAGAGGCATCACAGATAAGATTGAACCTCAGCATAAACTGGATCTTTTCATGCTGATCTGAAAAAATTGAAATACAGAATTTCATGGAAAGCATTTCAAAATGAAAACTTACATACTGTAACACCAACAATTTTTTTAACAAAACAAAAACAAAAAAAGCTTAAATAACTTGGATCTGTAAATAATCACAGTGATGAAGCTCATGAAAATTATTTCAGACCATACTTTCATTTTTAGGGAATCTTATTTACAGCAACATCTAGAAGGTTTGGTGGTGAGACTTGCACAAAACAGTTAACATGAATCAATAAAAATATGGTCCTAATTTTCATGAGTTTTCTCCTGGATGACTGGGCCTCTTTTAACTAAAATTCAATTTATTACCCTGCATACAAAAGTTCCACTATTAAGTCCTGTAAAAAGAGCACAATAAAGACAATACTGTTATTCTCACCAGTAGAAGGATCTATATAACTAGGTTCTACAGTGACGGCCACCTCCTGTGGTCTGGTCAACTGGGCCCACTCTCTGAGGTATACGCCCCGTGTACCAGAGGGTCCAGTCACCGTGAACTTCATCCGCCGCGTGCAACACGATGCATGCTGTAGGAGATGCTCAAAGGCAGCATCCACCTAAGAGTAAAATATAAAGGTTAGGGTTTAGCAGGGAGACAATTGGCACGATTTTATTTATTTGTTTATTTATTTATTCTTTTTTTTTTTTTTTTTTTGGTTTAACCTTGCCTCTTCAGGAATTTATTTTAATTGCCCACAAAGACTAAAAATATAAATCTAGAATCACAATCTGTTACTATTCTATAGTTTAGAGATCTTAATTATAATTTGTATTTCTAAGTATTGTCTCTTTCTATGTTAAGTCTACTGAACATTTCATGGATTTTAGACTTTAATTAAAATTATCATCATTATCATAATTTCTATTAAAGTCATAATTTTTATTAGCACCATTATAACCTCCTACCTGTAACATGCCATGTCCCTGTGCAAACTTCTCCATGCTTTCTATATGCTGTGCTGTGTTCTCTATGGCTCTACCTACCTGTAACATGCCATGTCCCTGTGCAAACCTCTCCATACTCTCTATATGCTGTGCTATGTTCTCTATAGTTCTACCTACCTGTAACATGCCATGTCCCTGTGCAAACCTCTCCATACTCTCTATATGCTGTGCTATGATCTCTATAGCTCTACCTACCTGTAACATGCCATGTCCCTGTGCAAACCTCTCCATACTCTCTATATGCTGTGCTGTGTTCTCTATGGCTCGACGTACACTGTATGGACTGTAGTACGTGCCTGTGGCTTTCAGACCAGATAGCACAAGAGCTGGAGAAGAAAGATTTAGATTCTGAGTACTAAATAATGCATTGCCCACGAGCCCGATTTGCCAAGCGATAGTTAATGTGATATCACAGAGCCCCAAGGTACGTATGGAAGGATGCAACAATGGTTCTCATAATTATATAAGAATTGCCAGCAGACAAATTCACAAGGGAGCTTCAGTCATCATGTTTAAGAAGATTTACAAAAGTCTGGTTATTTTTCTATATAGCATAGACATAAAAACCCTATGATCTAAATCATCCATCCAGACCCTCTCAAAGATAATAAATGAAGGGGCGTAAAACACGTATGAACTGTGTGGATTAAAAGTTTCATTTATACAGATGTAACTGTAACATAAATATTTACTCTCACGCCTACCTATTCCTCCACAGGCATTGGGTGAACTCATACTGGTTCCGTTCATGAGCTGAGATCCTCTGAGGGTCCAGTTGGGAACTGAGGCTATTGCACCCCCTGGCGCACTAATGCAAACCCCTAGGGCACCATCAGTTCTGAAATGTGCAACAATTTAAACTATAAAAAAACTCAAACTCTTGGTCAGACAATTGGTATTCATTAAGTTATAGTTATAAACTGATACTTCTTCCGTGACATTAAATGTGTAATAACCAGAAATTCATAACTGACTTAACATATGGAGGCACATATAATTCACAAATGTATGAGATCTACTCTTTAACAATTTGATTCAGATTCTGCTGAATGGATGCAGAGTATGGATCCAAGCAAAATTTTAAACCAAAACAACCACAAACTTGCTTTCTATCTCTGTCGTATGAATCTTAAAAGCAAAAATAACACAAAAGCAAACAGCAGGGTACATACGCTGGGCCCCGTGAGGACCATGTATAGTGCATTCCTGGTAGTTTTTGTCTCAGTGAGTACTCAGCAGCCATCATCTCTGGGGACACATAGGCACCCACACCTGAGGGGAGAATGTGAGAGAAAATCATTACCCTGCTGCTCATATATCAACAAACAAAAGTGACAATCAAATATTTTTTTATCATTTTTTCATACAACTTAATTTATTAAACCAATCATATTGAAATGGTTTAGTGGTTTAGTAAATAAAATAAACAATCTTTGTGAACAAAAATAAAATTAATTTCAAATTCACAGACAAGAAAAAGAATACACATATGAAAAGCATATAAAAATATACCACTGGCAAGCAACTATGTCACACACACACATCAATGGTAAAGAAAAACCAAATCTTATTATGAAATAAGAACCAAAATTACTCTTACAACCTGAGCGACAATAGCTAAGAAAGTTATAATAATTATAATGATGATAACTAGAGGATCAGAGAGGCGATACCGCCTCCAAATATTGCACCACCAGCTGGAGCAAACGCATTCGTATAGACCCCCACATACACAAAATAAGGGACACAGCCACCAGTTTTGTGCTTGACAAGCTGTAAAAATGCAATCAACAAGAATTTTTTAACTATTGCAAAAAATATATATGGTACAATCAAATTTAAGTTCTTCGTAAGGTAGGTCAAGGGTCAATTTCAAGGTCACAGTAAATTGCCAGTATATGACTTCCTATTCAAGTTCAAGAGTAACTATGGACCTATCTCTGTCAAGTTTGAAGTTAAAAGAGAAAGAAATTAGCAGAGTTCAGTTCATGATAAAAAGTAGGTCAAAGGTCAATTTCAAGGTCACACTTAGATTGCCAGTATAGGACTTCCTATTCAACTTCAATAGTAACTATGGACCTATCTCAGCCAGTTTTGGAGATAAAAGGGAAG